ATCAAAATCTCACAAAAGCTTTACTTTAAATCAGTCACAGATCTTTTTTGACTGACACAATTATTTTTTAGTCCTGGCTGATGCTCTTCAGGACCTTGTATACAAGTCAGATCATAATACTCTGTAAATTGAAAGATAAAGACATAACATATGGCAAACGTACCTCATTACATCTGCTTATACCATGCAAAAAACACCATAGAGCTGTCGATAAATACAGTTATAGAGGCAGCTATCTAAAATGTAGTGAGTCAAGCACAGCAATAAATTTAGGTCACTAAAACAACTTCATTCGTTTTATACACTGCCTGTCCAAAAAAAAAGTCTCCACCTAGATTTAGCTAAGCAAATAGGTAATAGCCTTCAAATTGATAATTCTAGGTTCAGCACTGCTATGTGCCCAAAAAATGAGCTCAGCTGCCTACCTGAATATATGAAATGACCAGGTTTTGCCATCAATGGATTTTTTTTCTTCCCTGATGGCACAGGAATATTACAAGATGACAATGCCAGGATTTATTGGGATCAAATTGTGAAAGGATGGTTCAGGGAGCATGAGACATCATTTTTACCCATGAATTGGCCACCGCAGAGTCCAGACCTTAACCCCATCGAAAATCTTTGGGATGTGCTGGAGAAGACTTTACACAGTGGTCCCACTCTCCCGTCATCACTACAAGATCTTGGTGAAATATTAATGCAACTCTGGATGGAAATAAATGTTGTGACAATGTATTAACTTATCAAAACCATGCCATGGAGAATGCATGCCGTAATCAAAGCTAAACACAGTCAAACAAAATCTTTTTTTTTCGTATGTGTGATTTTGTTTTTGGACAGGCAGTGTATATTACATAGCAAAGCACACAGTTTTCTGAACTGCCTTTATAACACTTGGAATTAATGCACGGGGAACCAAACAAACAAGGACTGGGCTTTGAATGCAATATTTACTTCTAATGATGTTAGATATTTGACTTAAATTCGGATTTTCTGATAAGGCAGTAAACACACACCGTTTAGTTTTCATATGTATTTCATTGAAGGTATTTTTAGAAAACTTCAAGTACAATAAACAGAGATGTGAAATGATACACATAATGTAGTACTATTATAGATGTTTTGGATAAATGCCTTGTATTTACTGTATATATCAAGAAATATGGCTTTTATGATAGGCATATACAGTGGACCAGGATGTTGATCATCGGTTTTTGAAATTAGATTCTTCATATAGAGCTGACAAAAACAAAAAAGAAAATGGGTACCAAATGTAACTACTGAAAACAAAACTGTTTTTTTTTTAAGGTCCATAGTAAATTAAGTGATAGAAACCTGGTCTCTAAGCTGCCCAAAATCAAGAGTTCAGATTAAGCCGGTAAATGAAGAAGCTTTAAACCAGGTACTCGGCATTTTAAGGGTCACAGGAGTTGACTGAGGTCAAATAATTGGGTTAGATAATAATTAGACAGATGAGTTTGAGTTGTTTGACCAGCAGCTCAAGTTGGATGCAAATCTGGGTGTTTTACTCTTCTTCAAGCATGAACATTTATTTGAAAAACATTTTAAATATTAGGTTTAAAAAGAACATGAGACATTTTAAGAGATCTAGTATTTCAATGTTCTCACTACAGTAAACCAGACAGATATGGGAATATATCTCTTGGTAAGGTTATCTAAAAATGTTGGTAATTTCGGAGATAAAAGAGAACATAGAATTTTAAACACCTGATAACATTTTTACAACGATACAATAAAATAAATTATGTGGAGAGAACACTGTAAGGATAAAGAACAATACGTGTTAGACAATCTCAATTCTGTAAATTATAAAACAGCTTTTATCCAGATTCACATTTAACCAAACATAAATAGGGTCGTTTATTGAACTCAAATGTATATCTGTTCTGAAGAAGTTTCTAAAAGTCTTTATTTGACACGTTGGAATGGGTAGACATTTTTTGTTCATAGTTTGGGTAGTGCAGTAAACCAATTCCCTTAAAGTTCCAAGTACTAAGATTTACAACATACTTGGTTAATTCTAATTAATCAATATAAATGTTTAAAAGAATATACTTTTTCTGCAGTGCTGGCAAAAACCTGTAAAACAGCTTCCTGAACGAGGAAGAGGGTAACCAACCTAAGTTAGCATTGTGCATTGACAGAAATTACATCTTTTACTTTGCACGATATTCTAATTATTCGAGTTTCACCTGTATATATATATATAGGGGTGTACATATTAGAAGTTGGAATGTTTACTTAGCAAAGTAAAAGTTCTCTTTCAATACCCAAAAATGTACATGCAGGATCAAAAAGTTGTGCTTACACATAAAGGAATAATTACAGTGAACACAGCTTTGCCTTATTCACTAAGCTAAGAGAACATTTCACAAAGCGAAAGTTCTCTACCCCTTTACTAAATCACTACTTTGACTTGTTGCACTTGTTTTACTGAAGTGTGAAGTGAGGTGATGGAAATTGATCCAGGACATTATTTACTATAATAAATTATAAGGTGAAATGAGCTTGTCTGTGTGTACTTCTGACACCGAGTCATGAGCAAGGCAATTTGAAATAGCACAGCTTCTTCTTTGCTTTATTAGATGTTTGAAATGAAGACATGTTCCCGTCACATCACTTTACATTTCACATTTTAATAAATCAGGCCTATTAAATTTATGAGATTTCACTGTATATCTAGATGTTTCTTTTTTATTTTGTGTGAATTATCTGACCATTATTGGCTATTGCAGTGTTCTTTGTTTATGTGGCTCATGTTCCGCTTCAAGAGCCATCTCTACTCAAAACTTATATTTATATTTTTGGCGGTTGCTTGTGAGTTGAATCACATGCTTGATTCTTATATATGTTGGGTTTTTGGTGGACAAGAAATAATTGAATAGTCCATTAGAAATAGAAAACCTTTTATGAGAGTGAGAGATACAAGAAGCTGGACAGGTCTTGTACAATCAGTTCAAGGTGATGTTGAACTATTATTATTTTTATTTTTGGTCTGTATGTCTTTATGATGATGCCATGTATATGGTGTGTAGCACAGGTTCTTTTATAACTTTTTATTATTTATTGACTGTACAAACTGAGAACTCATTTAGATTGTGCGCATAAGAAAACTATTAGAAATGAAGGTTAAACATACCCTGCCTCTTCTTCAAGTCCCTATCAAACTGTAAATGGTAGGTCATAGAGTGGCATATGGAAATACTGTTCATGGTGGCCACTTTTTCTATTTTGCTAGTACTATTTGTCAGGAGATGCCACCAAATGCAAATATTCCTTTTTGATTACTAGTCTTTAAAACTGTTTAACTGAGTTTCCATGACATCAAAGTCATTAATGTAGATTAGTTTGTTTCAAATAGCCAAATTAATTATCAGAATTTAAAGGGAATTTATAGTTTTTTTGGGTGTGAGGGAGGGAATATCTCCAAAATGTTGGGAAATGGTCTGATGTTACAGGAAAATGTGTCCCCCTTAAAGATATGCCTTCTATTCCTGTTCTGGTGACATCTGTAAAATGTCAGATTTCCTATCCCTTTCTGTCCAGGGACAATGGTCACAGGACAAACAGCAAGGGTGAATCTGTACAGCAGGGTCACAAACAGCTCTAGATATACTTTCGGTTTCCTCTTAACCATATTGGATGCCTGATACAAACACTGATTTTGTGGCCAGGTAAATCCCAGTTATTTTTAACAGTGTACAATATTTATTTCAGTTTTAATGTTTTACAATAAATATAAATATATTTTCCATTTCCATAGGGGAAGAGAATACTCCAGAGAACTATTTGCTTCAGGGACCTTTTTCACGGAAACCTAAACGAATACGAACTGCCTTCTCTCCCTCACAACTGTTACGCCTTGAAGGAGCCTTTGAAAAGAACCATTACGTAGTTGGGACAGAAAGGAAACAGCTTGCAAACAGTCTGTGCCTCACAGAGACCCAGGTATAGCGTACACTGCAAATAAATGTCCTTTTTTTTCTGCACAGAGCCTCAGGGAATACAGAGAGTGATACAAACCTATGTTATTTACGCACATGTAAAGAGCTTAAAGGCTTTCATTAAAATTCAGATTCGTGATAATGTGGTTATTACACATAATGTAAGTGAGCTTGGGGCTTGTTTACTTCTCCAGGAATTCACCATTTAAACACTTTTATTTTTCTGCCAAGTTAATAGTGTTATTTGTGGGAAAAAACTATCTTGATGCACCTTTTATTGAACTCTTATAATCTGGGATCAAGTAGTGGGGGGACTGTAAGGGTGCACATACCTTATGTTTTACATAAAACATCTCATCTCAGTATTTACCTGGCTGGGAAGCCTTTTAAAGAAAATAAAATCTTAACCCTTGCAGTGGGGCTACCCCATGCACTGCAAGGGTTAAGTGCTCATTTTGTCTAGGTTATATTCACCCGAACCGTGATCCTGGCTGGCTCCTAGATTGGTTCCTTCAGCCTGTCTCCTCCCCCGCTCCAGTGATGATTTGTCACTTGGTGTCCTCACATTCTATACACTGTATAGGATGTGATGTCTCACAGGAACGTAGACCACTGGAGTGGTCAAGGCTGGTCTAACAGCCAGCTGGGATTGCAGTTCGGGTGAGTATAATTCTGATATTTTAGCCCCACTGGTTAAGATGTTATTTTATTAGTTTTTATTTATTCTGCTTTTAGCACCACAGTCCTGACTTCCCTTCAGGCCACACTTATGCTGTGGCAGGTACTTTATTCACAGTGAAGCTGAACAGATGCTTTACTGTTCAGAAAACATTATGAGGCTTGGAGTCAGAGCATAACATAATCATATTCAATATTATATGCATAATATATATAATAATAATTACAATGCATTTGAATGTTTCCTTTTTGTGTGTGTGTAGTATATATATATGTGTGTGAGTTCATTATTTTAATATATATAAAATAATAATTATATTTGTTCACTGTTGTTTTATATTTTAATTATGTGTTTTTTATTTTAATTTTAAAAAATCCAGATAACAATAATCTGCACAAAAATAAATGAGAAACATATACAAAGAACACTTTGCAAAGCAACATGGGAGGGTTTACTTATACCAGACTTAAACTGCCAGGTGGGCGATACTTGCACATTATGGACTTACCATGATCTTTTTTCTTCTCCAGTGCTGATAGCTCTGCATCTCCCTCACTGCCACCTTCCCAATTTCTTACGGGGTGTTCTTTCTTTGGCTGTTGGTTGGGCACTGATGATGTAACTACTCCTTTGCATGCATGCATGCTGGAGTTACATTGTCCTAGCACCCAGCTCTTAGCGATGCCAGGGGTGACACAAAATGTGTCTGATTTACTAAAAGGGATATAAATTGTGTCAAAGTTCACTTCAATTAATCAATCGTGAAAAACAAATTCCTGATTACTTATTTTGTCTGAACGTGATTGTCTATTTAAAGTGGACAGGAATTTGCTTTTCACATTATTGGATATCTGACGTTAATATTCACATAACTTATTGTTTGATGATTCTCTGCACCTTCATTAAATAAGCTCAGTAATGTTTTCAACCAAAATCACTACCTGCTACCGATTTTTGTTAACTTTATTCAACTTTAAAGGAATTCTTTTTGAACAAATTTCACCTAAGCAGAAATCATGACAAAATTGGAGGCTAATTAAAGGCAAAATCAATAATTTTGTGGAGAAATCAGTTTTGCCAAGATCACTTTATTTATGCCTACTGAATACTGAAAATGTCACTTCTCTTTGTAGGTAAAGGTGTGGTTTCAGAACAGAAGGACGAAACACAAGCGTCAAAAATTAGAAGAAGAGTGTCCAGACACACAGCAAAAAAGAAAAAGCAGTCAGCATATCAGCAGATGGAGAATGGCAACCTGTCAGAACAGCCCCAAGGACATAGATGTTACATCAGATGAATGACAGCACTGGGCATATAAAAGGCCCATTGTACATGGAGACTATCATGTCAGGTGGCCACATGCCAAGTGCAGGAGATGAAGTCAATATATACTCCACTTGAACTGCATGGACATTGAGTCTGCAACTGTTATTTCAGTACTTTCACTGGCAACAACCAGGGTCTTCTGGATACCTGTGTGTCTTGCAAAGCATTTGATAATATCGCAGCACTGGCCAAGCACAGTGAAACTGTCTACACTTGAATGCAGTATAGACTGAATCCGATGGATCAGAACTCTCAGTCAGAAGATAACAGTACAGCAAAACTTGTACCTCAGGAATCCCCGTTGTGTACTAGATAGAGTTGATGTAAATATATATTTAAACATGAAAATGTGGAAAGATGAGGGGACTTATTAAATGTATATAAATAAAGACATGATTGTTATTTATTGTCTTCAGGGCACATGGATTTTATTTAGTTAATAGGAAGTGACACTATCCTGCTCATTTAAAGCTGAACTCTGGGATAAGCAAATATTGTCTAATTACAAGAGTCGCGTCTATTCTTGGTGTGTTTTGTGTATTTCTTCTAGATATGTGCAGGATTAGAGCATAAAACTTTGCCTCAGGGCAGGAGATATAGAGCCGTCGCTGCTGCTCTCTGTCCTTGTGTTGGTCTTGTCTCCGACCCCTTTGTAGTTTTTTGCAGGTAGCCTGTAGTTGGTGGGGCCTTTCATATTTGAATTCAAGTTTTTTGTCCAGAATTCAGCTTTAATTGGTGTGTTATCTATGTGCAAAAATACGGTAACCCAAATAAACCAACTATATTTCAATTTACTTCCATCAAGTAAGTAAGGTTGAAATCAATTTGGTTTAGGTCAGCTTTTCTCAACCTTTTTTCAGTCACGACACTCTTTAAAAGTATGCAAAATCTCAAGGCACCCTAGTCTAAAATGTAAACATAAATGTAAAATATTATCTGTGGCCCCTACAAAATCCATACCAGACCCTTATCATAATTAGGAGTCAGGTATGGATTTTAAGGGGGGACCTCATGCAAAAACAAACAAAAAATTGGGTTCTCCACGTTACATCAGGCATTCCCTCAGATGCTCCCTTTACATCAGAAGACTGCCTGCACCATTGAAAGAATTGATGCTATGTGAAAATTTGAAGCACTCATGAGAAAGCCAAAAGGCACGCCAGGGTGCCACCACACACTGGTTGAGAAAGGCTGGTTTAAGTTTAAGTTACTGCAAAGTGCACGTAGTCATTGAAGTTTGCCATGCCTTATTATATTAGACTACTGATTTCATACTGATTGATCTTGACATATGACCTGTTAAGTTTTAATTGACTCGCAGAGTATGCAGAGTGTAGCATCCGGTGTACCTTGGTACAGATCAATCCCTGTTCATGTTCCCCTCTATCCAGGAAAAACTGTGCAGAAGCCCTGCTACTTGTATACAAATTAGGCTTGTTTTCAGGGCAGTGCACCTCATGCTGCCCCAATGTGGTGATGCCAAAGTCAGTGGGACTGCATACATTCCCCTCCATTTGTGGCCCCTTAGACTGCATAGGAACACCTCTCCCAAAGGTTGGTCTTATTTTTATATAGAAAGCTAACACGTTGAAGCCCAATTTCTAGGAGCAGTATGCACAGAAATGGATCTGTAACAAGAGAGTACATACTGCATTTGGCTAACTGATGGGTTGATTCAGAATGTTGAGTCAGTTACTCTGAACAAGTATGCAAACAAGGATTTCTTTATTTCTTTTTTCTTCACTAGCCACACACTATTCCATGTCAGTAAGCTGGGTAGTATTGAGGTCAGAGATAGCCAGGGAGCTAATATTTTTTTAGAAGAAAGTTAGCAGTGGCAGTCTCCATATTTCCCTCAAGACAATTTCTGGTTAAACATCTACATAGGTCTGCTATTTAAGCCATCCTACCGTAGGGTCATTTCCAATCCCAAGTAATGCACACATATACAACTAAACCTCTTAGAACGAGTTTATACCTCAGGTAGCAGAATTATGGAAGGAGTAATGGCATAGGAGAAGAAGACCAAGAAACATGAAATGTCACAGAATAGGGAGCATCAAAAAAATTGCTTACTTGTACACATCAGCTCCAAAATGGATTGCAAAGGCTCACATTCCTAATGCATTCTCTAGTCTCTTGTGTCCGAGAGATGGATTGAGGTGAATGGCTCATTTCACATGATCACACAACTTAGAAATTGTTTGCTCTGCTGTAAATTGACCTTAATGCTACAGCCTGTGATCTCCATAATGACTACCTGTATGGACTACCTCTGTGCAACCATGGAGTGTCAGAGCATGTTTTACTGCTGCTGGGTTCTGACCATTACATATTATCAGTCTTAGAAACACTTTCATACCATTAAGAAAATGTAAGCTTATTTATGCTATACAAAAGCAAGAGAAAAGTAAGAATATGGGTTACATTTCCTTGAAAAGGAAACTGTGACTAGTCCTGATACCTGTGTAAGAAGAATTTATAAACCTTGATGGAAGTGTCCACCCACTGACTAGAAAAGTCCTGCCATTTGCAATACAGATGCACAGGTTCAGCCTCTTTAGATTAACCTCTACTGTTGGAGGTTTGAAGCTACCTCAAAGATAGGTAATAGTACTCATAACAGGTTACCTCACATGAGTGTTTCCCAGTAGCAGTTCTTAAGAACCACCAACAGGCCATATTTTCCATTATAATACAGTGGTGCTGTATTATAATAAAGAGATCATGAGATAAGTTGGCCGTAGCAGCGGGGTTGTAGCTTTTATTCTCTAACCTGCATTGAAAAAATTATATTATATACTTATGTACTTTATGTTGAACATCACATTTCTTTGTTGAACCTTTCACTTTTCAATCATCTGGACACCAAGATTCTGTGGAAGAGAGTTGCACTTTTCCAAAGAAGATGGTTTTGGAAGTAAGTGACTACTAATCAGATCTCACAACAGCCCAGCAAACACATGTTTACATCAAACACTAAAAAAAAAAAAAGCCTTTTATATCTTGTTGATTTCCGTGTGACGTGGTGCACTTGATTACAGCATTTGTATTCTGGCATAAAGGCATCATTATATGGAGTCTAATTGTTGCATGATACAAATATTTGTGTGCATTTATAACTAAACAATACATGGAATCCAAATGCTCACAGCACACATCCAAGGTGAGGGCAAATGGCAATACAATTGATGGGGTTGAGGTATAGTCTCATCTATTTCCAAACTGTTTTTACTGGCTGTCCAGAGGTAAGGCAGTTTTGTGGCTTATTCCCCATGGGGCTCCTTTGTGACATGCATGGAACAATTTAGCTGCATATAGTTAAAAAAAAAATGTCTTTTGATGACCCAACCATTCATTAATATCCCTTGTGTCTGGTTGTATTAAATGTGATATTTATTAAATTTTTATAATTATTCCATTCGCTTATTCTAACCTAATAAATTACGTGTTTCAACACTCTACTAGCATTTTTAGAAAAGCACTTATGCAGTTAATTACAGTTGAAAACTGTATTAAAACAATGGCACGGACCAAACTCACTAACACTGAATTCTAGAATACATAAAGTTTAAATACACTTATTAATGTAAAAAGAAAAACCCTACCTTTGAACATAATGGTCCCCACCACTATGTGTCTTCCGACCCTAATAGACAGAAGCAGCATATTGCTTCCTCCCTTCCTGCAATGTCAATAAGAAGAATGAGGGATCAGTGTTTGAGTACATAAGTTTCCCAGGAGTATAATAATGACCTCCTTCCATCCTGGGTGGTTGGAAGCACTGTTACCCTCCCCTAGATAGCTCAATAACCTATTCTTTGCCTAAATGTTGCATTAGGCCTTTGAATGTGGGGCAGGATCTGGACATTTTATGATCACTGTACATGCATCTCCTTTATTAGCCTGCATTCACACCAGAGCAGAGTGTATTTTATGCAATTTAGAAGCTTTTCGGTGCCTCAAGCATCAACACGTTTTTGATGATTTTCATGTGTTTGCATATGTTTCAATCTACAATGCTGACATCCATTTCACAATCCATGTACCCATTGCACTCCTTACAGCTAATCCGTAATGATAGGTTGGGTGCATCAGTAGTCGACGGATGGCCACCGTCTGAATCGAGTATAAGAAATTATGGACACCGGCACTCCAAAGTAGAATAACTTCTCTTTATTGACGTTTCATGCAACAGTACACTTATTGCAACGTTTTGGGGTCACACAGGATCCCCTTCATCAGGCAGAACAAGTGAGGCACTTGTTCTGCCTGATGGAGGGGATCCTGTGTGACCCCGAAATGTTGCAATAAGTGTACTGTTGCATGAAACGTCAATAAAGAGAAGTTATTCTACTTTGGAGTGCCGGTGTCCATAATTTCTTATACTGCTGACATCCATGTCTACACCCTGTTCTACTCAACCCTCCCCCCCAAAAGCAAAATAACCAGACAGACACAAATACAAGAAATACTATATTTTTTAATAAATAACAAAAATGGTGTCATAGACTTCGCCATAGCCCTTAATGAGGTGGATGATATGCTCTATATTAAGAGCTAAGTAAGTACTCCATTTTCTTTCTTGGCCTTGTTTTTAGGAGGAGGAGATGAGTTGTTAGACAAAAAAAAGCACAACAGACACGCCAAAAACATGTAAAAATGCTTGTGTTGCATGTTTTCAGGTGCTCCCATAGAAGTCTATGAGACCAAGAATGCTTGGTTCTGCCCCAAAACAAGGCCATGTACTTTTTCGGGCAATGAGTGACCAGCTACAAGTGACACAATGTGCAGGTGTGAACGGGCACTATTCAACCTAATAGGATTATTTGTGTTGAGTGTTGTTGTGTTTTGAGAATTGTGTGAAAAAATGATTAAGTGTGAACGGGGGCTTACAAGCAGGCTTTGTAAACCTGAGATTCTCACAAAATGTAAGTTGTGGAAACCATGCTAGTTCAAAAACAGAGCTGGGAAA